AGGGAGGGAGGGAGGGAGGGAGGGAGGAAGGAAGGAAGGAAGGAAGGACAGAGCAAATGCTACAGTGCAAGTGTGGCGGTCAGAGGACAACTTCCAGGAGTTGTTTCTTTCCTTCCACAGTGGGCTCTGAGAATCAAACTCAGGTCATCAGGCTTTCGAGGTAATCACTTTTGTACACTGAGCCGTCACTGACCCTGTAAGTTTTAATACTAAATAGTCATAAAATGATGAATTTATTCATGTCATCAAAATTCAAAATATTTGTGTCATCACATGGCAATTTCCTCCAGTAGGCAAAAGAAGCCCGAGATGTGATATGGGGAAACAAACCAGGTTAGAACAGGAGGCACAAACAGAACTGTACTGCTACTACTGAGTGTTTAATAACTAGTCCTTATTGGGAAGTGGCTATGCATGTCCCCTGAGGGGGCTGCCTATAATTATTGATTACCCATATTGCTTTGTTGTCGGGGGAAAATTAAATAATCAACTGTGTGAAGATTTTTATTTTTGTAGAAAAAGTTCAATTGACTAAAACTTCATTAGGGCCCATAAGAGATAGAAATGGGTTCCATAACTGCACCAGCATTCAGTAATGGAGTTTTGAGACAGTACTGTGCCATGGGGAAGCAACTGCTCTTGAAAATTCTGTGGCTTTCTGAATCGTAAAACAACCAGCCATTTCTGAAATGAGTGAGCTCAGCGTAGCTCTGTTTGGAATCCTGAAAGAAAGGGTCAGAACAAGAATTGAGAATCCGTCTTGGAACAAGGTCCTCTGGGACTCATTGCTGGAATGTGGCCAGCTGAAGGGCAGAGGCCCTAGAACATAGTGCTTTATAATGTGTCTTCCCAAACTCTGGTTTTTCTAATTATGCCTTGCTCGGAACCTTTAAAGTGGAAAGGGACGGGGTGGGTGAAATGTTTATGAAAACATTGAATATAGGATTTCCTTCCAGTCATTTGGAACTGTCACCTTCTACAGTCGTCGCTCAGAATGAGAAGTAGGTCTTGTAACAGAATCAGGCCCCCACCCCTCGGATCGTGGAAGAACCTCTCATCCAGGACCCCTTTTGCACATTAAGGGGCTTGTCAAAATCCGCCCAGTTTTATAGCAGCTGGCTCTGCAACATTTCAGCAAAAAGGGGAGTGGCTCCCCACCACGATGATAATAGACTGAACCTCTGAAACTGTAAGCCACCACCTCAATGAAATGTTTTCCTTTATAAGAGTTGCCGTGGCCATGGTGTCTTTTCACAGCAATACAAACCCTAAAACAGCATCTATTCCAGATCTATCTTGGGATTATGGGCTCCCTAAGCCCCACAATCCATGAGCAGGTGAGCTCACCTGCCTATCCAAAGTCGCCCCCCCCCCCTCCAGCCTCCTGCAACTCTCAACCAGTGTTAAATGAATGAGTCTCTCAGGAAAGTCTGGGAACCCACCGTATGGATCAGCACTTTACTGGAACAGCTTGTCAGTCTGTTTTCAACTCTTAAAAAAAATATTTAAAGGTGGTGGTGGTACATGCCTTTAATCCCAGCAGTTGGGAGGCAGAGGATCTCTGTGAGTTTGAGGCCAGCCTGGTCTGCAGGAGCTAGTTCCAGGACAGCCTCCAAAGCCACAGAGAAACCCTGTCTCAAAAAAAAAAATTATTCTTTGTATTTCATGTATGTGCACCACATGCATACAGGTATCCATTGAGGCAAGAAGAGGGGCATCAGATTCCCCAGAAGTGGAGTTTCATGAAGTTGTAAGCCACCAGATGTGGGTGCTGGGAACCCAACCCAGGTCCTCTATGAGAAAGGCAAGTGTTCTTTACTGCCGAGCCATCTCTTCAACCCTGTTTCAGCTCCTTCTATGGCAAACCCTTTAACCATCCACTTTCAGTCACACTTTTCGTTCACCATTTGGGTGGTTGCCTCACTACCCAACCCCTCAGGCTCCACTGATCTTTATTTTTTTTAATTTTGTATAGATGGGTATTTTGCATATATATTTTTTTCAAGAGAGAGAGAGAGAGAGAGAGAGAGAGAGAGAGAGAGAGAGTTCTACATGAGTGCCTTGTGCCTCATGAAGCCAGAAGAGTTAGCAGGCTTTTTTGGACCGCCAGTCCCCAAATCATGACACAGAGGCTTACTATTAATTATGAACATAACAGAGAGTGCATCAGGGAGTCCCTGGAACTGGAGTTACAGATGGTTATGAGCTGCCATTGTGGGTCCTGAGAATAGAACTTGGATCCTCTGGAAGAACAGCCAATGCTCTTAATCACTAAGCCATATCTCCAGCCTCTGGCCTTTCCTTATTATTACAGAAAGAATATAAATTCAACCAGTAGAGAACTTTTATACACTCTGCATTTATGCCTTCATGATTTGTTTTCCTGGGACTGTAAAAGGCCCACTTAGCACTCCAATGCCCAGGCCTGCAACACATGACCTAGGTCCCATCTTTTTTTTTTTTTTTTTTTTTTTTTTTTTTTTTTTTTTTTTGATTGTTTGTTTTTCAAGACAGGGTTTCTCTGTGTAGACCTGGCTGTCCTGAAACTAGCTCTGTAGACCAGGTTGGCCGCAAACTCAGAGATTCCCCTGCCTCTGCCTCCCAAGTTTTGGGATTAAAGCTGTGATCCACAACTGCCCACCCCTAAGCCCCATCTTGCCACTTGCTTCAGGACACTCACCATCTAAGCCCTGCATCTAACCCCTCTCTCCTTATGATCTGCCAGCAGCCCCACTGGCTCTTCTCAGGTGCTCAGCTGGAGCTTTTCCCCGTGCCAATCTGTCTTTGGCATGTGAAGGTCCCCTCACGCTCATTATTTCATAGACCCAATGATGTCACCTTTACACCAGAGAGCCCCACTCCAGCTGAAGTTTTGCCTAGACTGGTTCCCTGAGAAACCATTCAATGCTCATCCTTAACACACCCACCGATACTACACGGTGACTTGACCTACAAGGCTTTGGATTTGACCTGACTGGGGCGCACGCGCGCGCGCGCACACAGACACACACACACACACACACACACACACACACACACAGAGGCAACTAAAGGAGAGAAAAATCTTATTTGGCTTACTGTTCAGAAGATTTGGTCTGTTACATCGGGGCACAGCAGCTGTGGCAGCTCCAACTGTTGTGACAGGTTCTTCTGGCTTCTTCGATCACAGGGGAGCTTAGAGAAGAAGCAGGGTCAGCAGGACTCTCAAAGGTCTGTCCCCAGTGACCCACCTCCACCAGCTGTGCCTGTCACCCCAAAGGCTTTATAGCCCCTCAGAACTGTGCAAGTAGGTGGGGACTAGATAGTCAAACACATGAACCTGTGGAGATAAGTCGAATCAATGTTCAGCAAAGATTTGGTGACCCCAATGTTCCCAAACTGCTCTGCTCCTACTGTCCCAAAACTACTTTTTACATTTACTTTTTATGTGTGAGTGTTTTGCCTGCCCATAGGTATGTGTACTGCCTGTGTGTATGTGTTCATGGTACCCTCAGAGATCAGAAGAAGGCATTGGCTTCCCTGGAACTGGAGTTACAGGTGGTTGTGAGCCACCACTGCAGGTGCTAGAAACGGAACCCAGGTCCTCTGCAAGAGCAACAAATGTTAACTGCTGAGCTATTTCTCCAAGACCATTTCTTTTTTATTCTTTTCTTTCTTTTTTTTTTAAATGTGTCTGGGTATTTTGTCTGCACTATGTCTGTGTACCACTTGCATGCTGTGCCCATGAAGGCCAGAAGGTGTCAGAAGCCCTAGGACTGGAGTTACAAGCAGTTGTGAGCCATCAAGTGGGTGCTGGTAACAGACCTTGGGTCCCCATGGAAGAGCATCAAGCTGCCCAGCCATTTCTCCAGCCCCAGACTGTCCCAAATCTTAGTGATTAGTGTGTTCCTTTCCTCTGTTCTTTAGGCCCCAGATTTTGGAATCTTCTTTGATGCTGTTATGTAGCATTGTTCCTGCAGAAACACAAACAAAAACAAAAACAAACATCTACTCAAACAATAGATAAAAGTAAGCATGTCACTGAAGTCCACCTGAGTGAGTCAATGAGTTTACCAGTGGTTCTCACAGTTGTGTGGGGGATGGGTGTTTTAGTCAGTGTTCTATTGCTGTGAAGAGGCACTGTGGTCACAGAAACCCTTACAACAGAAAACATTTTTTAGGGCTGACTTACAGTTTCAGAGGTTTAGTCCGTCGTCCCATGGTGCGATGTGGCAGTGTGCAGGCAGACTTGATCTTCCAGCAGCAGAAATGACAGTGACAACTAGGCCCTGCTTGGGCATCTGAGATGTCAAAGCCCCATGGTGATACAGTTCCTCTGACAAGGCCACAGCTACTCCAACATAGCCACACCTCCTAATAGTGCCACTCCCTATAGGTGAAGCATTCAAACACATGAATCTATGGGGGCCACTCTTATTCAAATCACCAGAACTGGTTACTTGCAGGAATGATTCAAAGTCAGCATCACCATAGCCCACCCCAACATAGCTCACACAAGCTGGAACCCTGGAGCCACTGCACAATCTACAGGCAGCTGGGCAGGTTGGGGAGAATCTCTCCCAGGCAGCTCAGTTTGTCTGACCTCAGCAGTCCTTACTCCTTATATGAGCTTGGAGAGGAATGAGCCTGGAACACCTGGTCGGTATCAGGGACTTCCTGAGGCTCTTCAGTTGTTTGCTCCCTGAGGAAGCCTTCCTTTAGAACTTCCTGGTCCTAAGGTGCTTTCCTCCAGCACAGAAGATTTGAATTGGTAGAAAATGGATACAATCGATGCTATGTTCTTCCCCACCCCCCAGCATATCACATAACATTTATCTCCAGAGTGTGCTCTATTCCAACGCTTGCCACCATGTCCTTGCCTCTGCTCTCTGGCATAGTCCACGATCACTTCTCTGGACTCCTGCAGTTGCCTCCCAGTCTCCCTACTTTTGTTTCTGCTTCCTGGCCCCTAGTCCACTCTCAGCACAATAACCAAGGTTATTCTTTGAATATATGAGAATGATTATCTTAGCTGAAATGCTCCTAAGGGGACACGGACTAAAAATTTTGTTTGTAACAGAAGAAAATTTGAAACAAGTTTCCAGTGAGTTAATAAAATACGGTAATGTCTATAGTGGAATACTATGTAATGGGGGAAATGTGGCAGATCCCATGGAAGATATGACAGAGAAGCATACACACAGCTCCTCTGGAAAGATTCACAGGAAGCAGAGAGAGTTTTCTCCAAGGAGCATCGCACACGATTTGATGAAGAAGAAAGAAGTTGTTTATTTTGCCCCTTGGGTACTACAGGGTGACTTGACCTGCAAGGCTTTGGATTTGACCTGATTGGGGCAACAGAGGAATGTGTGTGCGTGCGCGCGCGCGCGTGTGCACACGCAAACACACACACACACACACACACACACACACACACATCGTACCAGATGCCCTGTGTGCTTTGATGGAGATGCAGCAGCAGCCTGGGAACTCGGGACTCATTATAAATCTCTGATCGTATAAAAAGACACAGGCTGACAGAATGGATACAAAGACAGAATCCATCCTTCTGCAGCATACAAGAAACACACCTCAACTTCAAAGACAGACATTACCTCAGAGTAAAGGGTTGGGGAAAGATTTTCCAATCAAATGGACCTAAGAAACAAGCTGGTGTAGCTACCCTAATCTAACAAACTAGACTTCAAACTAAAATTAATCAAAAGAGATGAAGAAGGTCTTTTCATATTCATCACAGGAAAAATCCATCAAGATGAAGTCTCAATTCTGGACATCTGTGCCCCAAATACAAAGGCACCCACATTTGTAAAAGAAACATTACTAAAACTCAAATCACACATAAACCTCACACACACACACTTATAGTAGGAGACTTCAACACCCCGCTCTCACCACTAGACAGGACCACCAGACAGAAACTTACAAAGAAACTAACAGAAGTTATGACCCAGTTGGGATTAACAGACATCTATAGAACATTCCATCCAAACACAAAAGAATATACCTTCTTCTCAGCTTCTCAGCACCACATGGAACGTTCTCTAAAATCAACTATATACTCAGCAACAAAACCTCTGAAGGAGGAGATGGGTTTATTACCCATAGCTGACAAGCAGAGGACAATTAGCTGAGTTTGGTAAGAGGTCTCTGTAAGAGGCTCAGAAGGAAGGGGCTTTGATCTCTGCACTCACCTTCAGCTTAAAGTCAATCATTCTTAACATCTCTGCTTGGACCAAATGAAGGCTCTGCCGTTCCCATGGGACTGAGTCATTTGGGGTCTTTGACATGCCTATGCTCATGGCAATAACACATTCACTCAATACCTCATCTGATTCTCACAATTTATGAGATGTATATACATGAACCCAGACATGCATACATACATACTGTAGTTGTTTGAATAAGAATGACAGCTATAGATTCAAATATATATATATATATATATATATATATATATATATTTGAATACTCAGTCACCAGAGAATAGGAATAGCACTATTTCAAAGGATTAGGAGATGTGGCCTTGTTGGAGGAAGTGTGTCACTTGAGGTGGACTTTGAGATTTCATAATCCCATGCCAAGGCCAGTATCTCCCACTCTGCCTGCCAATCAGGATGCAGCTTTAAACTACTTCTCCAGCACCATGCCTGCCATAGCTACTGCCATGCTTCCCAAGGTGATGATATGGACTAAACCTCTGAAACTGTAAGGAAGCCCCAATTAAGAGTTACCATGGGGGCCGGGCGTTGGTGGTGCATGCCTTTAATCCCAGCACTCGGGAGGCAGAGGCAGGAGGATCTCTGTGAGTTCGAGACCAGCCTGGTCTACAAGAGCTAGTTACACGACAGCCTCCAAAGCCACAGAGAAACCCTGTCTCGAAAAAGAGTTGCCTTGGTCATGGTGTCTCATCACAGCAATAGAACACTGACTAAGACATATACATATATAAATATATTTTTACTGGGGCTTTGTGGTTGGCTGGTTGTGTTTTTATTTTCAACATCAATGTTCTTCTGAAGTTTATTGGCTGCTGTCCAATGTGTGTCTTCTCCACTGATTCCATTGCTGGTTTGTCGTGTACTACAATTTTGTTGCTCCTATTCTTTGTGATGGGGATTGAATCCAGGGCTCATCCTAACTACTCTACTGCTGATCTATACCCCGGCAGGATACAGTGTGTGTGTGTGTGTGTGTGTGTGTGTGTGTGTGTGTGCACATGTGTGCAAGTTCACACGTGCAGATGGAGACCAGAGATCAGCAGTGAATACCTCCCTCTGTGCAGTTGAGTTTTATGTCAACTTGACACAAGCTAGAGTCATTTTGGAAGACAGAACCTCAACTGAGAAAACGCTCCCACCTGACTGGTCCGTGGGCAAACCTTTGGTGCATTTTCTTGATTGATGATTGACTGACATGAGAGAGTTCAGCTGTGCCATCCCTGGGATGCTGGTCCTGGGTGCTTTTAGAAGGCACGCTGAGCAAGCCATGAGGAGCAAGCCAGTCTGCAACATTCTACCATGGCCTCTGCATCAGCCCCTGCCTCCACACACTTACCCTGGCGCTCCTGCCTTGACTTTCCTTAGTGACGGAATGTGACATGGAAGCATAAGATGTCATAGCCCTTTCCTTCTCATTGCTTTTGGTCGCAATGTGTAACCACAGCCATAGAAACTTTTAGATAGTGCTCCACTGTACTCCACCTTAGTTTTTGAGACAGGGATCCTCATGAACCTGGAGCTCGAACCATTTTGGTTAGAATAACTGGCCAACAGTGCTTAGAAACCACCTGTCCATCAATCCCCAGTGTTAGACATACAGACCCATGCTGCTACACCAGGCTTTTATGTGAGTGCTGTGGGGAGGGGGTCTGAACTCAGGTCTTCATGCTTGTACAGCAAGCACTTTACCCACTGAACCATGTTGCCAGCCTTCTAGCCCTACTCTTTTCATTGTTATTTTCATCAGCTATTACAAACAAACAAACAAACAAAAACAGTACATTACCAGCTTTGAAATTTTCCCCCTGGATCTGTGCTGCAGGGTGACAAAGCAGATTTGCACAAGATTGGGAAGCATATGCAGACACTGTAAGTCTTATTTTAATAAAAGGTGTCCAAAACAGTTTAAAAATAAACTGCAATATCACCTTTTTTCTTTACAAGAATAAAACATGAGGGAGACCTGCTTTTTCTAGCCACGTTATTAACTCTGAGAAGCTGTGCTGGCTGTGTGCTTGCCTTCAGTCCCCTCTGCAAGAGCGACTGTGTGTCACCAGCACTCTGCATGCATAGCACCCTGCTGCAGGAAGCTGCTACCTATGTCCCACTTGCCTGCTGCTGCCTAGAAGCCCCCACTGGGAGTGGGCTCTGAGCTCATGGAAACTACATCCACGGTGAAAGGTTCTCAGAAATGTCAGCTTTACTGGAGTCTGAGTCCCTGTCCCTCAATGTTGCTCGGTTTCTCCTGCTGCTCCTGTGTCCTGTGACTGTACTGAAGACAATGTGTGTAGCCTACAGAAGCATCTAGAACTTGAGTGGGCCTAGGAAGAAGATGGCATCAATGAGAACTAGAATCTGGACCATCTGTTTTGGGAGTGTTGCCGATTATCTTCCCAAATTTCCCTCTCTGAAGAGCAACTGGGAAGTTATAACATTCAGATTAAAGTGTGTGCAGCCAGACATTACATGGGGAGCTTGCTGCACTGTGGTGGTACACACTTTTTTTTCCCCACTATTTCACATCAGTTTTAATGGGAATAAAAGAAAGGGTTAAAAACTGTGTTTAGTAGTGGTTACATCCTTGCTATGAGGGCAAAGTGACCGTAGGACACCCAGGAGCAGCCCACACTCCCTGGTTTGAACAAATCAGCTTATAAACAAGTCAAATGTCTAGAGGCATGCTATTAGATGGTACACACTTTTAATCCCAGCACTCAGAAGGCAGAGGCAGGCAGATCTCTGTGAGTTCAAGTCCAGCCTGATCTACAGAGTGAGTTCTAAGGCAGCTAGAGCTACACAGAGAAACCCTGTCTCAAAAGTATAAACAAACGAACAAACACGCATGGGATGTTTGGAGTGCAGTGTCACAATATCAGAAACAAAGCAAATCTTTAGAGACACCAAGTTATAGTTGTGGGTGTGGATGAGCATGAGCACAGCCCACACTGAACACCGGCAGCCTCACAGCTGTCCTTAGAACTCTCTGGAAGGGCTGTGCAGCACTTTGGGAGGGGTGAAAGGAGCAATGGCTCCCCTTGAGGATCTCCTGTAACCCCTCAGGGAGTGTGGTGTGTGGCCCTGGAAATTGTCAGGCCTGGAGACAGCTGACTCAGGACTGAGGAAGATAAAGTTGGGAGGACACTGTTGGCTT